TGGTCAATATTGTACTGCCATAGCCAATGGCTTATCGGTGTTTGTGTCGCCTAGGCTGTAGACCCGCGACCCTCTTTTTTGCATTGCAGAGGTAGGAAATTGGAAACGAGTCATTCATGAGCTTGCTCGGGCGAGAATTTTATTTAGCCAACTTCATGGGGCGTGCGTCGCCGGGGCTTTATAACCGCGATCACAAATACGTCCTTAGCTGCCTATAGGACTGTTGCAGTATTTTGCCGGCTGCTCTCCCTTCGCATTGCCTTAGCTCGGCGGTGACAACTTAATTCCGTTTTTTAGATTTAAGTATTTTTGTCTTTTCTCATGTATTTTGTATGTATACGTAGCGTTAACGTCTTCTCTTTGTCCGTGCCCCTGCCATGTTTGTATTTCTTTGTGCGTGCTCCATTTTTATATTTAATGTTTCTGTGCATATTTAGTCATTGTCGACGCAGGTGTTAACAAACATAAAGCCACCGCTTACGTCGCAACCGAAGTGACTTCTACTTTTAGTTTTACGAGAGTCTATCGCGCTATAAAGTCATATATTAAACTCGAGTGAAGTCTCAAGAGGGTTGCTTCGACTGCCAGTGCACATGTCATCAGTGTAGGCAGAGCAACGACGTAGCAATCGCGACGCGAGAGCATACTGCGCCTCGATCTGGCCGGCCGCGCTCGCTCTGCGGAAAGGTGAGCGTGGGACTCTCGAGCCCCGTTAGCTTACTGATGCTACAAGACGCTACTTTGTTGTCGCGAATCATTTGCCCTTCGAACGGTCGCGAAGCCGTTGCGCCCGGCGTACCCTACGCAGCATATTTCAGAAACCGTTCGCGCAGCATCGCAACCTTCTTACTGCGAGCGTCGGTGATTCATCGTGTGTTGAAAGTCGGACGATGTGCTGTTCGAGGTGTCTTTTATGTGCAACTCTTTCGTAAAAAAATTTGAAGTTTAAAAACGCGAACCTAACAGTGTACAAACAGTTTAAATTTATTGATAAAAAATATATTTACATATTTATAGATATATTTGTGTACATCGTGCGCAAAAAATAGTCGCGCTTAGTTCTTCATTCTAAATTGTAATGTAAGTTATACGACGCAAAACATACTGTCGTCACACTTGCCCCGTTTAGAACCACTTTTGGACTGGACAGTTTCTTTAGAAGTTCGAAAGCTGACCTTCAAAGAGCTGTCCTGTTAAATTGGTAATGAGAGCAAGGTAGACGCTATGCGTGTTTAAGGCCAATCCTGTCTCCGGTTAGGGTCACGTGACTACTGTCTCAAAGCTGGCGATAAGGCAGAGCACGGAACCTGCCTAAAGCACAAGGTCACGCATAACTTCTACTGCACTATCAACCTTGGGTAGAAGTAACAAATTCTCTCGCTCCGTTCATTGTTCAGATGCCCCTGAAGATAAGCCTTTGTAAGCGCACCCCACCCCCGTTCTGGCCTGCTTGCTTTGTACTCCTTCTCTCTTTTTTCTCTCTCTCCCTAAGCTGAAGGCGCGGTTGCTGTGCGTATTTGCCGGACTTGAATCCGCTCTCTGTGCGCGGGTAACGGCAGAAGTGTGATCATGTGGTTTGACGGATGACACATTACCCGTTGACAAACTCGGAATGCCTGCGTCGCAAGGACCGGACCTAGTTTCGCGCGTGATGCGGCCTGCGGGGTGCAGGCCCGCTGTGGATTTCGCTTCTGTGGTAAATGGTATCTCGTTCGAAAAGTCCTACCCGTGTCGATTTCTTCAAACAGGCCCAAGACATTCTTGTGAACAGTTTAGTGTCCGGTTCGGCAAATGGCAGCGTGTGCTACATTGTGTTGAATCTTCACGGATCACTTCCTTGTAGTTTTTGTGTTTGAGTGGTTGTTCTGCAGTGCCCGTGTTGACATATAAGTCGGATTACATCTTTCAAGTCCAGTATTTTCAACGTAAGTGTCCTGAAACCTACTTGATGATCATTGTCCGTTCTTGTATGGGCAATCTTCCGGATAACCTCTAGAATTGGGCATTGCCTATCTCCTGGCAGCTGGGAGAATAATTTTCCCGCAATCTTACCGACAGTCGCCTGCCATTATCTGTCTGAAATAATGTCACAACCGCAGGTAGAATACTGACTTTTTTATTCTACCTGCGTTTCGCAAAAACACGTTTCGTTGCCACCTTTCTGGTCGACATTTACGTTTCATCGACATTCGTTACGCGAATTGCGCGCTGTAGGGGCATTTCGTCGCGCGTGTATTCCTGAGGCGCGTGCTCACCGAACCAGCCCACCCTTTCACGCCGCTTCATGCTAATCTGAAGCGGTTCATTGCAACAAAAAAAGAAGAAAAAAAACATATTTTGAGTTTTTTTATGAAACATCGCGTGTTGATGAAACGATCTGTCTATGAAATGTAGTTCGATGAACTGATTGCACCGCCAATGAGGGGCGACTAGTGGTAGAATTTTGGCGAAACAATTCTGTCAGCTGCCGGGAGACTGGACACTACCCAAGAATTACCCCGGTTGTTGCTTGCTTTGCAGTCTTTTTAATTGTATCACAGCTGAGTAGTACCTCTTCACATATTACGAATTGCTGAGATTGTGCTTGTCTACAGAATAAGCTGTGTGTAATAAACTGTTAGGAGATTTCAAAACAATCCCTTGTGTCTGTTTACCTTCCTCTTTGCAAACAACTTGGCGAGGGCACTTGCAAAGAGCTGGACGAGTGCAACGATGGCCAAAAATCAGCATGACGGCCAACATTGGATCAGGTCGCGCTTCCAGTGTTGTCCAATATTACGCCGGTCTTCGCCAATGTGGGAGCACCTTGGCTGGAACCATGGTTTAGCGATGGCCCAACATTGACACCAATGATGGGGCCGACATCGGCTGGAACGATGGCTGAACATTGGCCCAACATTGGCACCGATCACTGGGCCAACATAGGAAAGGGTAGCGCTTCCAATATTGTCCAATATTGAGGCCGGTCTTTGCCAATGTTAGGCCAATGTCGGACCGACATTGGTGTGCTGCCTTGGTTAGTTTGAATTATCATTTCCAATTATAAGAGACACTGCTGCAGGTCCCCAAAAGGTTCCTCGGGCTCCAAACTGTCTACAACTGGACTCTTTGACAGCAGAAAAGAACAGGAGGAAGAGCAAGCATTCGAGGGGCTTTCCAGTGGTAGATGCTACACTAGTAGCAGAACACGTGGAACCTGTGAAGGGTGACAGTTTACGTGAGAAAAGCTTCTGGTAGTTCAGCGTCAGGACAATTCGATTAAGCTAAAATCAAAATTTTAGACCCTAAGGGACTAATAACGGGCTAGGCGCTTTCACTTGCGTTTGTTATACTTTACTTGAGAGATGATGTAAGCAAGTCCACAGATACCACCAGTGGAGTCCATCGAAATTGTGTCCGAATCCAGCAAAGATCAAACGCGAGCCATGTACATGAATAAATGTTCCTTGTTTTCTTTTACTTTGCCCCTGTACTTACGCACAAAAACAAAACAAGCGATATAGTATACATAACCTGCCGATTCATTCAGACCATCACAAGCATTGATTGTGTAAGATGAAAATCTATAGTGATACTCCTGCAATTGTGATATTTCTACATTTCCATATACCAGCTGCGATTCATGTGTTGCCTGCTCCGTCAACCTTGCCTGAAATGTTAGTTGAAGTTTCAGCCGTAGATATAGGCCATACCTCAATAAAGCCACATGTGAAAATTAACACTTCCGAAGAAAAACGCGAACAAAAATATTTGAATAGAAACAAGCGCGCCGACAGCTAACGCCGTCACAGCCATCATTGGTCGAATGGGGCGAGTTGGGAAAAAATTCTGTCCTCGGCCGTGACGACACCCCGGTTCGCCGTAAGGGGGCGCCACGCAAATGTATGGGACCTTTCACTCTATATTATTGTATTAACTCTATGTATTAAGCAATCTTCGTGGGGCTAATAGTTGGTGACAGATTAAGAGTTCAAAGGAAACTCCTCACTTCTTTTCCCTCCGGTGACCGCTCTGCACAAAGGAGAAGGTTTGGAGGAGCTCCGACTGAACTCTTAGCCTTAGCCTTTCCACAATGGCGCAACCATCTTGAACGTCGACACTTCTTGCATGCGCTCAAGCATTGCTTTAATCTCTCCATGCCTCTGGAAGGGGTTTAGGAAAAATGTGTGATTGTAACAAGTTTTTGTTTTGCCTTACCTATATTTTCTCGGTTATTCCAGGATGAAATGTTTTTTTGTTTTTTTTTTGCCGCGCATACCAGATGCGCTAACTACTTGAGTGATAACGACAGAAAACAGAAAAATATTATAGATGTAAAGCCGTAGTGCTGAAGTTAGTGCGTTCCCTATTGAGGGCCAGCGCAGGCCATATATTGGACTAGATAGCTGTGTCAGTGTTCAGCTGGGAGCCGTGGTTTCTCTCAGTGAGCGCGTGTTCCAGCTGCACACTAACGTAGCACTCGCACAACATATGTGCTCCGCAGTGGCCTTGAAGGGGAGGTGGACTAGATTCAGCCACCACGCATTTATTTCTTTGCTCCGTTCACCCTTAAGCTGAGACCAGAAGCTCCGCCTTCAGCGCGAGCTCGCAGGCTATTGCAGTGCTTTCGTTGCGCGTGCCTGCGCGTTCATTCTTGCTTTAGCGAGGGGAGAAAGCTCGCGCTGAAGGCGGAGCATCTGGTGTCAATTTAAGGGTGAACGAAGTATAGGGAACATTCACTGGCGGCCATAGATGTGTGCGCTACAGCTGAGCGCGTGCTGACGGCGAGCTTTCACAGTTCTTTCGCAACGTGCATTCCGCACCATCAAGATTGCCGGTCTTAGCAATCAACTAATGTGAGCTCGTTCTGAGCATGCGCTCTAAACTGCACCCACAAATATGGCGTCCAGTGAATACTGCCTATAGGTGGTATTGGGCTGCGTCGTTCAGAAAAGTAAGGAGACCGCCGTGTTTCGTCCATGAAGCTCGAAACTGTGACGTAGAAGAAAGAGGCCAATTGGTGACATGGAATATTTTCATGGACTTCACGTTGCTTTCCCAATACGCGAATGGGTCCCCTACACACTACTAAAGGCTTCCGTTGGGGGGTTTAGTGTACGGCTCGTGCAATTAGCGGGACGTTCTTGGTCATCCCCCTCAGTGTCCGCAGTCTCTTCCACGGGTACCGCCTTGACCTGGGCTTCTCCGGTGAACTGGCGGCGCAACAGGTCGTAACTTGGCGACAAGAGCACCACCCTGGAGACAGCGGACACGATGACCAGTGTGGCCAGACTGGCGAGCATGGCCACCGTTTTGATCGGGAAGAGCTGCAGCTGGGTCTCTTCGTCGAAGAGCGGGTAGCGGAACAGTGCCGGGATCCCCAGTATGGGCTCGCCCCCGATGGACCTGAGGGTGAGCCCGACCACGAAGGCTGCGAGGGACCCGTAAGCATTGCAGAGAGAAGGAAAGTACACAGCCGCCAGCAATTGCGGGAACAGCATCACGTACACCATGTCTCCCACAAGGAGGCATAGACCGTACGCCGAGTCCACAGTGATGGCCACGACGGACGACATGGCGGCCGTCAATGCTATGGAGGAACGCAGCACCCACACCTTTTCTCTTTCTGACGCCTGCGTGAATAGAATAAAATATGGTTACTGCTCTATAGCCAGGTTGCGGTCTCGATGATTGGCATGCTGGCTACTGTCTTGTGAATAGCAAAACGACAATGCGACAGGTTAATTGCAATGCACAAAAAAGGCAGAAGGACAAAAAGTATAAACTTTATACAGATCTCAAAACTTTGTCTGAACGTCCTTGCGTGCGTTTCCCGTAAAATTGAGCGGAAACATTGACATCACGATACACGGGAAAACCCGAATTGAACTCATGATCTAAAGTTTGCTGGAAAATGGATGTCACGTGACTTGTCGTCACGGGTCATACAGACCGACTCAGCTCCCCCGCTAAATATAGCGGCAAAATTGAGGTCACGTGACCTCTACACCAATGCATTTTCCTCGCTAAATTTGCGATCAAGTGGCGTCACGTGACGTAACGTCACCTAGACAGCTACGAGAAATCGAGGGCACGTGACCTACACGTCCCGACCTCAGTTTACCCGCTAAACCTAGCGGAAAAATTAACGTCAAGTGGCTCGCAAAAACATTAATTCAGATTCCCCACTAAATTTAGTGCGAAATTGACGTCACGTGACCAATACACCATATAAGTTACCCTCTAAATTTTCCGGGAAACTTCGAGTCTCGTGACGTAAACACAAATCCAGTTTCCCCGCTAAATTTAGCGGGGGAAATCGACATTATGTGACCTGAGGTCACATGACCTATTGAAGGATTCAGTTTCCCCGCTAAATTTGCAATAAAAATTAAACCACTTAACACATCAATTCCCTATAGTGCATTTTATGAATTAAAAGACCTTGAAGGATAAAGACTTGTTTTTTTTTTTTACTATTTGAAATTACTATCAATAATTTTATCTTCAGCATAGCGGTGTGCCCGTTACCGAAAATATGATATGAAATAGCGTTAGTCGTTAACTTGGAAGAAGGCTGACGCGTTACAGAGCTGCCTTACCATTTTACAAATGTAGCGTAATACCGGTGAGGTTACTTGCCACGACTAAGAGGCGTTACATTTACGTTAGTTTGTCGTTACTTTGTGTTTCACAGTTAGTATATAACAGCTGTCTATAATAAACCACCTCCATGAAGTTCGCCATTAATACACTTTTTCAGGGTGATTCTTAACTCAGCAGTGCCAGGGCATTACAGAAGAGGAGTTGGGTACAGATCACATTTATACAGGGTGTCACAGAACAAAATTTACAGTTTTTTTTACCACATAAATAAACGAGGCATCGCCGAACGCTCATTCTCTGCCCAAAGGTAGACCTAGAGGTACCAACCAGATTCCTAAGTTTCAGCCTGAATGGACACCTTATTCAAAAGTTATCAGTGAGTTTCTGAAAATTTCATTGGGAAAAAGGAGCTCATTTTCGCCCGTTTTCGGTTTCTGGCGCCATAGAGCCCCGAGTATTCGAAAACTCAGTCGGCCGCCATTTTCCCACTGAACTTTTCAGAAAATCACTTATAACTTTTGAATAAGATATCGGATCGGGCTGAAACTATGGAATCTGGTTGTGACCTCTAGCGCTACCTTTGGGCGGAGAATGAGCGTTCGGCAATGCCTAGTTTATTTTTGCGGTGAAAAAAAAAGTCCTGTAACTTTTTTTTTGCGACACCCCATACATTGAAATCTCACAGAAAGAGCAGCAGAAGCAAGCGACCAAGACTATAAATAAACGATTCAAAACAACACACAATAATAAGAGCTAAAATTTAAATAAACGCCAGAAATACATACACAGACACTCAGATTGAATTGATCAGGTTAATAAAAGACGCACTGTCGGCAGGATGTGTAATGTATGCGGAGCGCAAGTTCGTCTGATTCATGCACAGGTGTTGCGATGATGTCAGAATGCCGAGCTCTTAATGGCTGATTAAAAAACAACAGTGGGTCAACCTCGAACCATCTAGCATCGAGGTCTACAAACTATCCTTTCGATCAAAGCCAATCAGAGCTCCGCGTCGTTCTGTCGTCACCACAACTCTTGCGCAAATAGCAGACCACTTTCTCTTTGCATACGGTAAAACCCTTAATGCTCGGGAGCCCTTAATTTTTTGGAATTTCGCGAATTGAAAAATTCGCAAAATTTAACGGCACGCGAAAATTTCTATCTTTACGAGTTTCAATGCAGGCGTTTGGAATTCGCGAAAATTAGTGACCGCGATCACGTCCTCTGTGACTGATTCGCGAATAATAGGGGCCGAGGAAATAGAGGATTTTACGGTATCCTCGAACACGCGACGCTTTGCGACCGCGTTTCGGAAAACAGAACTTTGCTTCTAGCACTTGCCTGGGAAGAAGAAACCCCTTTGAAAAGAACGACCGCATGCACGCCCCGCATCGGACCCAAAATATACCTCTTTATGCATTTAAAGCTAATCCGGCAAAATAAATGTTATTTTATTCCTTCACAATCCAACATAGCTTTCCAACTAACGATACGTCAGCACCGGGCCACGGCTAACACATTTATTTTGGTTCAAAGCGGGGGAACGTCCACACTTCCAAACGGAGATATTATTATTTTTGTTGTTAACAGAACAAAATTTTTTCCTTAATTTTTTTTTTTTTTTTTTTTTTTTTAAGGGAGGGATGTGATCAGTTGGAGTATATAGGAACGCTGAGAAACTATTCGGCGAGCGGCGGCAGACTGCTGCCTTCTGAACGGATGCCTTTTTCCAGCGCGATGGCTTCTCAGAGTACGGCAACGGTGATCTTAGCAGCTAATATATAAAGACTGGACCAAGGACGCTTATAGGGTTCCGCGCAGCAATAATCTCGCTCCTTTTGGGCCAGGTCGTGGGAGCGTTAAAAGAGTCTTCCGAAGGAGTTTGTAATGACGCCACACATATGCAAGGCTTTGTTTGTGTTTCTCGCCACTTTTTCATAGTGTACAAAAAAAGATACAGTATACCCCACAAACAAATGTCCCCTGTGCACCGAAAAGGCTTCACTATATCACATCACGTGGGCATGCCCTAAGATTCAGGCTGCCCCCCCAGTTCCCAACCCAAACGCCGAGCAGTGGGAAGCTGCGCTGTCCAGCTGGGATCCGGACGACCAGCGTAATCTGGTCTCGCGGGCCCGTGCCGCAGCGACAGCTACAGGGGCCCTGGAATGAGGGCTCCTCTCGCCTCGGAAGAGCCAAACGAATTGTTTATTAAAAGTTTTTTCTCTCTCTCTCTCTCTCTCTCTTGTTTTCAATCATGCGGCTATTTTAATTCAAAACTAACGAGTAACGAATAACGCAATTTGACGGGGGATACTGTAAAATAATAACGAGCTTACTTTACTCGTTTGTCGTTTGGCATTCTAAAGAGAACGTTAGTACGTTATTAAAAAATAACGCGTTGGTTCGAACACTGTAGCGGGTCGATTAGTGTGCAAAGCTTGGCGAATTCTTCGCCTTGGGAGACATGTATGAAGATTTTAATGCGGCTTGTTATTAAAGCTGCCCCGATCAGCGGGAGACGATTAGCTGAGCCAGACAGCTTTCTCCGTATTTTCGCTTTATACCGGTAACATTTCTTTAGCCTTTCTATTGAAAGAAACGTTCTTAATTCACACTATTTTGTGGTTCCGTCCTCTCTTTTTTCGCAGAGTTTAGCGAATCTGCGTTAAAAAGAATCCGCACGCTCGTAAGGAACCAAGTCGCATCCCATGTCTCTCACACGTTACTTTCTCCCTCTCTCATCCCGTCAATTTAAAATAGGTTCTTCAAACCGGTTCCCTTAGAGGGACTGGTACCACGTAAAAGCCCGAGATCGACGATGCCGACCTTGGGTCGTATCAGCGGTACGTAGACGTTCTTTGTGAAGAGTGCTCCGGTGCTGAGCATGCAGGCGTCCGCCGAGGACATGGAGGCCGCGGCAACGGCCCCCTGCCCCAGGAAGGACACCGAGGCCGGAGTGAGGTGCTGCATCGTAAGGGCCAGTAGCAGGGACGACTGGGACTCATCGTCCAGCGGGGACACACTGCCGCCTCCAGCGCTGCTGTATGACGTATCTTGCCACCCTTAATAGAAGGGAGGTAAAGCTTATCAGGGCCTTAGCGTTGGTTTTTTTACATCATCAAACTGAGGCCAACGCCAGGCTCAGGTTAGAAAACGAATGAAGCGTCTGCTGCGACTCGTGTCAGTGGCTACAATATAGTTGTAGTGCTTGGCAAAAGAGTCGGAAAACAATGAGCCACCACCGTCGTCGCAAGTGGAACGCTTCGCCGCTAGGTGAGCCACTGAAACAGGGTTGTTTGTCTCCGCCACTGCTGTGCCAATTGTACAGGCACGGCAGGGCGGCGAACCACCGCCTCAGCCCTCTGTCGAATTTTAAGGTTGCCACAATATTTTCAATAAAACGCTACTTTGTTGGCAATGAAATCGAGTTTCTTTTCTGAGTCACCGCCGTTATCATCACAGAAAAATGTTACTTCTTGAGACACAGATTGCATACCTTTGAGTAGCACGACGTCACATTTGCTGTACACTTTTTTCGTCAGGTAACAAGAATTCACCCTTTTCTTAGGTCAGTGTCAGCAGGGGCTTTGTTAAGGTAGTACAGTGTTTCGCGTCGCCGAGGCGGCGTTTCAAAGTGAAACGTCTATAGGCTTAGTTTTCTGGTCAAGTAAAGCCTTAAAAAGAGTAACCCTGAATTTCTCCGTTAAATTAGCGAAAAAACTGACGTCACATGGCTTCATGTCATGTAATCCCATACATCAAATCAGTTTCCGCGCTAAATTAAGCGGAAAACGGGATGTCACATGACATCGTCACTTGACCTTTACGCAAAGTTTGCTTCCCCACTAGATGTATCGGAAAATTGACCTCACGTGATCTCATCATCAATTCCGCTTCCACAAAAAATTTTGCGGGGAAAATGACGTCGCATCACTACGTGCCACTTGATCAACGCACAAATTCAGTTTCCCCGCTAAATTTAGCGGAAATTTTGACATCACGTGACATGACGTGACCTATACGCCCATTCAGTTTACCCGCTACCAGTCATTCCCCATACTCTGCGAACCCAGGCCCACCCGACGGGGAAAGTCAGGGGTTCAGTGAGTCAGTGAGCTGGAGAGCAGGCAAAGGGGTGGAGAGGAATGGGTGGAGGCAATGGGGTGAAACCATCTGTAGTGGATGAGAGTGGTGAAGAAACCCAGAGTCCGAGCTTGAGAACGTTACTAGCCTGGAAATTACAAGTGCTAAACCAAGAACGTGACACGTTGCAACACAATTGAAAAGCATTTTCCGATATGTTTTTTTTTTCAGAATGCTTTTATATGTTGCGGTATGTGCCAAACTTTGTTTTTCCAACACAAATGAAAAGTATATTTTCTACGGAAGTTTGGTGTCCAGAGATCATCTCATAACCCGAGGGCGAGAATTTCATGACACGACATTTCACGCGGCCAGCAGAGTCTCCAAGTGCTCCTGCTAACAACGGCAGGCCGTTCACATAAGCTGTACAGAACATACCCTGTTGGAGGTTAAGATGCCGGACAAGCTTCACCCGCCAAACCCACCAGCCTTTTCGCTTCGCAGCGCAGACACCGCAAGGGAGGTGAGGCCCGAGGAGAAAAGGGTGGTGGGCTTCGCGATAAAATCTTGCCCTGGGTTTCTTCACCTGCAACAAAGCATTCGTGACTCCAGCGACCTTCAAGAGATGATGAACCGAAGTGTAGAGCTCACAAAACAAGGCTGGAGGGGGGGGGGGGGGGGGGGTGTTGCGAAATGAAAAAAATAAAACATTACTCATACCCCAATATCTCTACCGGGTGGCTGCATTTTTATAAAGGAGTTGCGCGATTGAACACGGCCGACGGCACAGACGAGATATGTGACGTTGTGATTCTCATTCCTTCTTTTCTTCGCTTGGCCCCCTGGAGAGGACTAACCGAAGCGAGGAGGACAGAAGCGAGGCCTGTTCCCCTTCATCTTAACTGTTCTAAGAGAATCTGGACGTCACATTGCTCGCTTGATCGCGCCGTTTTTTAAATGAAATACCGCCTTCCGTTTAAGATATCGATGTGTGACTGATCTTTTGTAGTTATTATCGTCCCGTTCAACACTTCTGCTGCCTTATTTTTGAAAATCCATCAGTTCCGCATCTCTTTAAGGGGTCGCCACTATCGGCCAGATATGGTGGTCTTAAACAGGTCGTGCCTTACCCACTGATCTTTATCGGCCCGATGCTCTCGGCAAGGGCGCGTTATAGCGTACACAAGACGCGACCATAAAAGAGGCTCCTCCGCTAGGATACGCGAAACGCGACCACTTAATGCTGACGTGAAGTGGCATCCCAGCATCTTAACACGCACCTTTTACAGGCGTAAACGAGCGTCTGGGAGCACCGTTCCTCAGCGCCTGCTCATGGTTCATGCACACTTGCATAGCGTTTGAAAGGATGGAACGCTAAGCACAGCGGAAACGCGACCTAGAAATATCTGATGTTGCTCGCCAGGGACGCTGTTCAAAACTTGAGAGCTTCGTGTCTATTGTAGTAGGCTGGATCGTGGATCGAGGATTGTCTTGCTGTGGTCGTGCGGCACCAACGGCAGCCATCACTTGATACCTGCTAATGCGTGCGACTCTGTGGGAGAAACGCGAAAACTGCAATTTCATGCCTTAGTAGGTTGTTCTCGACGATGAAACTTTTATCCCCTTTTCCGGTAATGACAGTGCATCATCAGGGCGAAAATATTAAAAGCGCTGGAGTAGCGATTTTTTGAAGAATGTTTTTGGGTTGAGGGTTGCGACTTCGTAGTGCGTAAACTGTAACGCAGTTCATAAGACAAGGATTGCCAAGAGTCAATATGGAGTTGCTCATGATCTCAAAGTCATCATAGTTTGGCAGACGATAAGTTCGAAGCCTTTTACTGGGGACATTGACATCGTTTCCAGCGCTTGTAAATAGTAGTTCCTATACAAGCTTTTGCTTTGAACTGCAGTGAGGGGTTCTGTGAAGAACTAAAACTCAGAAAGTGTAGTTAATTTGTTGAACGTGTAATGTATTTAGCAACTGAAGCAAGTGACGCCGGCAAAGTTCATATTGTTCTTTATCAGTGTTCGAAAGTTTAATGAATGTGGATTCGGTCTCCAAGCACCCGATATAATGATCGCAGAAATTCACAAAGTACTTGCCTTCAAGCACCGCCTAGAAGCTTCAATATTCCTAATTCTGTGTGTTTCTACCATTGACTTGCGTGTATTGCCTGGTGCCAAGCAAAGGGCGCCGGTGGTGCCATGGAGGGGCTCCCTATTCGTGATCCAGCCTACTATAATACAGATCAGTAGCTGTGCCATGCGCCACCTCAACGCACAACGTTCGTGTTCCAGCAGGAAAGCAGTGTACTCAAATGGTTTGCCTCTATTTGTATTCACTACGCTTCAAAACTACAGCGATATGCTGGTGTAAGCGAGCTTCCAAAGTCTTGTTCCTCTTGTCATAGAAAGACTGCGGTGCTGATGAAGGTTGATAAACATAAAATGTCTATTTCACGCGGCTGCTTGGGTTGCGTTCACAGCGACCTGATTAGCACGCTGACACGACAGTACCGACAGAGTCACCGGGACTAGTGTTCGGTCGCGCCAGCAGTCGACGACATGTAATCACGGAAGCCACAAGGAACGAGCGGAAATAGCGAAAGGACCTGCTTTGTTCAGTTCATTGTTTTCGCGTTAGGAGCTGTCCGTTTTACTGGAGTCGCAAATAGGTACCGTTACCGTGTCTCCAGCTTTGGCGGCGTATTCGGAAACCCCGGATCATCTTTCCGAGGTTCGAGACGCTAGATGAAGTAGCTCTGAGCGCGAGTGATGTTTGTCCGCTAGCATGCACACGGCAGCATCGTGAGAATCTCCGCGAAGTAGCCAATCGGCTCCCGGAACGCCAAGTGTATGTAGCACCATAGCCTCCTCTATACTCAGACAGCCTGGCAGTTCAACGACGGAGCCATAGAGTTCCCAGTCGCAGATTTATGCGCGAGGATCTGGTAGCACAGAGCCTCAAGGAGCCATTTTTCGGGGAACCTGTACATTACACTCCAAAAAAAAAAGGGAGTAGTACTTCCTCCCTTAAAGGAGGAACTCGCGTGTATTATATATTGCTCTACAAAGGGAGGAAATTTCCTCCTACAAAACGGGAGGAAATTTCCTCCCTTAGGAAGGGAGGAAAGTTGCCACCTATTGTTGCTCGTGGAGAAAACGTTCCTCCCCTAAGAAGGGAGGAAAATCGCCACCTTTTTTCGCCCAATGTAGGAAACTTTCTCCCCTCGTGTAATTCATATAACTTCCACCAGATGGCGCTCAAAACAGAAAAAAAAAGTTGGTGAAGTGCCAATTTGTTTTCCAATGTCACCAGGATGGAATGTCTGTACTACCATTTCTTAAAAGTGGACTCTTCCCGAATGAATAGTTGACCTTGTCTTCCGGATTTGTTGCTTCGTTCCTTCGCCGAATCGTCATTTCAGTGTCCTTTCTTGCGCGGGAATCAGGTTTTTGAAAAAATAAAAAAAAAATATCGCGTGTTCCCGCAAGCCGGTCGTGGTCCCGATGTTGACGGACTACGACGTGTGTCGGACGGCAGTCGCTCGCCGCAACGCAGTTCTCGTTCCTATCGACTGGATATGCCCTGTTCTGTTTTACACAGAACTAAAATAAACGCCGCGCGGATTACCTTTCGCTGTATGTTACGTACGCTTTATTTCAAGAGTATATGTTTCTCGCGGAGGTGACGGGGCTAGGAACGTATAGACGTGTCGACTCGAATAGAGCAGTGATCTTAGCAACTACGTGATTAAGGAAAAAAAAGTTCCACGCTTATGACGATTATTTCTTGTGCGCCCTACTTGTTACTAAAGTTAAAGCAAATAGGCAGGCGAGCTGTTTAAGAATAGATAGTTTCGTGTCTGTCCGTCCTTTTTTTGTTCCCCCGCTCCAGGGTCACTATGTCTACTTGTCATGTAGCAAGTAACGCGACGAAAGCGGTCGTACTTGCCATGCCAGTGATAGGTCGCCACCTGTACTTATCGCAGCTGCAAGGTTTCATCCACAATGAATAAGCGCGATCTCGAAGCGGGCACATACGGAGTGATTCTTGCGAGGCGCACGCCGCGCTACGCGCCTCGCTTTTTGTTTTGTTAAACTAGTGTACCTCCGCTAGCCCCCGCAGCTCCGCTTTTTCTCTCCTAGCACCGCGCATGGGCAGTAGTGGGATTGCTCTTGGTGACGGTAAACAATCCCTCAAGTTGCCGTCACCGCCATTGAACATCTTCGCGGCGGCAGCGGCGGCTAACCGCGGCTGCCGCCGCGAGCATGGGGGAGGAATTTTCGTTCCTTTTTCAAGCGCCACCAGCTTGCGCTGCATCTAAATAGGCGAAAAGGAGGAACGGGTGCGATTTCCTCCCTCCCGTAGGCGACAGGGAGAAAAATCACTTTTTCCTCCATTTCTCCTCTCTTTTTTTTAGAGTGTAGTGCACAGCTTTTGCAGCGGTGAGGACCTGAACCACACTTGTTCGCTCGAGAGAAGTGTGTTTCGGCGCCTCGCCGCAGCGGGGCGCCCGGTCACATGGCTCTCCTTTCATCTGTTGTCTGCCGCTCCTCCTTTTCCATTTCGGCGGCCGCTTCTCGTTGCGATCTGCGTCGCTTTGTGAGTATATAGGAGGCTATGGTACCACACATCCTCCGCGTGATGCTTGTGGTGTCCCCAAGGCGTCTACACGTGTCAGATTGTTTCATCTAATCTCTGGCACTAGAGAAAGTGTCTTGGCCAAGCACGTTTTGGCGATTCCCGAGATTGTTGAAATTCGTGTATTTTTTCCGGCTCTTCAACAAACCACAGCTTCTTTCTTATTGTTAAGGATCTGAGCCGTGGGTCCTGGCCTTATGGCGGCGAGGGTAGTATAGGACGTCTGATTGGTGGAGAGCGCATTTGTTGAAATTGTATGAACACAGCAAGCTTAAGATGCCGTTCACATCACTTAAATAAATTGTGCAGCGGTTAGAAAAAGATGTCATTTTCCCTAAATTATTGAATGATGCCTACTTGTATGCCAATTTTAAACGTTCAAAAAACACTCACGTCATAAAAAAAACCGTTTTTGGCCGAAAAGTTTTAAAAATAAATTCAAAACGTAAAAAAGGAAAAAAAACAGATATTTTTTTGATGTCGGGCGTGGTAGACCGCTATATTTGGGACCTTTTGTCTGGCTGCGAGGAGATCGACGAAAGCGTCTGGCGCTTGCAAGCGTTTCCGCATTTGCGCCCGCCTTCCTTCCTGACACGTAACAACAGAACGCATGCTCACTTACCAGAAGTCTTCTCAGGACGCGTCCGCCATTCGATCATTAAACTTCTCCACGGTTTGAGTTGCTCCCTCTCTTAACTCTGGACTTTTTAGGCGGACCATGTTAACACGGCGCCCTCACGCGCTCGCCATGTGCGGACGCACGACGGCCTCGAGAGGCCGTTTTGCCAGGCACTGAAACTAAGCAGGAGGCACTGCCCGTGTTAAATGAGCGAGTACACGAGTCGCAGTTGAACTCAGATGCAACACTCAAATCCAATGTGTGTCCGTTCCGATCTCCAGTACTTGAGCATTAGGTAATAGACAGGAGCGATTTGGGGAAAACTGTGAGCTCTGGTGGCAGTGGCTCCAAGAGAAAGAACAAGAAAAAAGTGACGCGGATAACGAAAAGAAAAAAAGTGGAAGATGCGTTAGGCGTGTTGGTATTCCCACGAAGCGCTGAATATTGCCAATTCTTCATTATTCGCGACTACAATTCACTATAGGTGGCGCCACTCGTTTTCCAAAAAGGCGGTTATAGTGCTGGTTGGAGGTGTGTGCCGGGATATACCAGTTGCTGGGCCTGTCTCGTGCGCTGGCTTCACTGAGCGACACAACTTATTCCCGCTTCTACACGGAAGCTAGAGTGCTATGAGCGCAGGTCATCTCTTTATCCTGAGAACAAAAACGGTTCGTAGCGTAATATTGACTCCGGGAGGCCGTTTTAATTTTGGAACGAAACCGAAACTAACGTCTATTTTGGATTTAATTTATTACTATAGGGGGTAATTTCTGGTTCTTTCATAATTTATTAAGTGTCTCACAGCGTATTTATTCAGTTAAAGAAGTTCTCGGAAAGTTCATTTCGTGGCATACGTGTCCGATCCAGGTATATAAAATATTTCGAAGAGTCCAGTCACCCTTTAAATACAGCGCCTTTCATACACCTTCGATCAACATAAGGTATTGTATTTGATAATAATAGCAGTGCTCATATTTGTGCGTTCCTGCTGCCTTTTCTTGCTCAGATATTTTTAATGTAAAATATGTAACCGTGGGTCTTTTAACTAGCTATTGGGTTTTAACACGATTAATTGCTTTAACACTACTCACACACAAAAATAACAGAATCAATCCAAAATTTACAAAATATCCCCACGGGTAATGCCTTTATGATATGCTCAGAGAACTTATAAATTAAGAAAAGCAGTTCTCAATACAAAAACCCAAAGACGGAATGTAAATCAAACAACAGAAATGTAATTTTTCTTAGGAAACACGAGGCGCATATTACTTTATATAACATCAAGTGTTTGACTGTTTTTCGACCCCGATAACGATGTCAGTTTTTCTAATGGTAAAAAGAAAACAAACTTATACCGTTATGAGAAGCATTATGGTTAAATTGCATATTTTTTGTGATCGTGGCGTTTATTGGGGGCCTACATTGCCTCAGTTTGTATTGATAATAATAATACAAATAAGATATTTTAATACGCAGTTTGAAACTGTAATATAATTTGTTGCTTCTGACCTTATTTCAAACGCGCGAACAAGTATGGCAATCAAAAGTGTGCCAATTATCATCACTATTGCCAATTGCAGAATTATTATCTGACAAGCTATAATATAAGATAATAAAAAATGAAAACGTTCTAGCTAATCTGAAAGATCCACGTAAAACATCATTAACTGTGGGTAAAGCATCTGGTACTATCAGAGTCACGACGTTTTGGCAACCGGCAAAGCTTCCAAAGTAGGCGCCGATCCTTCCAGACCAAAAGCCCCAAAATAAAAAAATTAAAAAAATAAAATAAAAGAGCAAATTCTCTTCTTGTATTTTTTTTTTTTTTTAGTACCTATTTTTATGAACATTTAGTCTCTTTTATTATTACGCGACGTCGGTTTGTAAATCTCAACCTTTCCAGTTCGAAGGAATGCTTGCACGTCTGCTCATTGCAGAACGTTTCGAAGGCGTTGGAAACTGATGAAACAAAAGCGAGATTTAGTATTGGGTATACGAGCGAAAGCAAGGATTGTTTGTTTGCGTTAACATTGCGTGTTCCACATTGCAAGTGCGCGAAGCCCAAAATTTCAGTCTTGGATTGGCGCATGGCGACGACGTGTATGCGCAGCGTGGAGCAGGCAAATCTGACGCAAACGTACAATGCTTGCATTTATTTCTGTACGCAATACTAAAACTATATAACAAGGTACAATTTTATACACGCTGCAGCACTACTTTGGATCACCGAAGAGTTGTTTGCATTTAGAAATGACATTTCGCGAGCCAACGTCGCGAACAGTTCAGCCGTCTCCGCTGAGGGGAAGATCGAGGAGACCCTCACTAGAGAGCTCCTCGTATCCGCCGCGGGAGGGCGAGCGACGAGCCGGAAACGCAAGTATCCAGTCGAAGTTTAAGTGTTTTCTTTTTTTTTTTTTTTTTTTACAGCGGGGTTGTTAAGGGCTAGGTTCCCCAGGATCGTGTCCATATATTTCGACACAAACCTACCTGGACAGCTACCGTCATCTATAAGCGACGGCGGAAAGCACACAACCAGTATGGTTTCCGCCGTCGCTCGTAGATGGCGCCAACCTTTTCAGCTATAATAGAAGAATGGATAGTTGGGCGCGTTGGTGGGAATTCATTGTAGGAAACAGCGCGAAAAACAGACGACGACGAAGAAGAAGCACACAGTCTATCGAGTACGGCTCCGCTGGTCTTCCTTCTTCACAAGAGTGGAAAGGCTGTTATGTTTTTGTTTTTTTGTTAAATCTCGTAACATGAGCTTAGGTACTCACCTCGCAAGTCGTATATTGCGGCTTCTTTTTGTTTCGCAATGCCTCACGAGCGCTGTGGGGATAAAAGTCGCCGCCAATTTTTGTCAGAACCAAGGAACTTACGGGCAGTCCTGGCGACGAGTCCCAGAAGCAGCACAGGCACGCACAGGATGAGGGAGCCCACGCCGCCGACGTAACAGATCGCTTTGGCCCGGAACTCGGTCTTCGCGGACAGCACCCTCTGCAACACGTTCTGGAATATTTGCCGACGCGCAAATGTGAGAGGATTCCAGAAGAGTGGTTGTTTAGGCGAATTGGTTTGACATCTTATGCAATCTTTTGCGCAGCAAGGACGAGGACAAAAGGAAGAACAGGGCGCAACAAGGGGCAGGGTATTGGTATTTGGGTTATCACCCTTCGTGATCATGGACGCGAGAAAAAACAAGACACTCTAAAGACGAGCTCACACTCATAATACATTATGCAAATGAACTGCGGACACTACCCTAGTTACAGAAGCGATCTCAACTGATATTAAGCCAACGATCGTTGGCAGCTCCCAACTGTCTTTGAGTTCAACTAAGTTGTCCGGTGTACACAATACATGGACCTAACAACTCCAGTTGAGATGCGCTTCATGGAGCACAGTTAAAACCGAAACGAAACCAAAATTGATGTCGCATTATCTTGTTTTAAAAAGTGATGCTAATAAGGTCTATGCACAGTTTTCATTTATAATGAACGTATAAAACAGAATAAGATTGACTCATTTGTCGTTTTTAGAGTAAAGGAGCGATAATCACAACGTTTCACACGAATTCAAGCAAACTGTCTGAGGAAATGTTCCGAACACAAATGTATGAAGCCAACATGCCTGACGCTGACGCGCACGCATCGACATTGTCCGAGAAACCCCTTTGTTGCGGTGTAATTTGAAGAATAAAAGCGGGCATATTCTTTCAATGTCTCCTTCGCGAACTTGATGATGTAGTTTGGGGGACGCAGTGTTGGCATAGTCTACCAGTGACGATATTTGAACGCGGCTCATAGGTTTCACCCGAGTATTGCGTGAGCACTCTATTCGGGCTCGTGATAATCAATGGCTTGACACGCATTCAGGTAGTCGCTCGTGACCAATCGCTGCAATGACACAATAGCCGAACCCTAACAATGTCTTGAACTCAGCGCGTACCCTGTGCTCTGCAGCCTCCAGCGGGCGGCTGATATAAACATCGACAACATAAAGACCTTTTCCACAAACGCGCCGCCGTCTTGAATTTTGTCACTTCCGGTACAAGCGAAAACGTCATTTTGCCGTCGGCACGCCAATAGAAGACATTCAGGGTATAAGCCTAGCAGTAACTCTGTCTCGTTTTGCCTCCCCTTTATTTTTTAACTATTTACAAATTGAATTTTAGAGCGCAGCTCTTAGGCGCCCGTTTCCGGCTTGAGCGGCGTTTGCGTCGCCGTCGCCGTAACCGCGCGGTGCATTACGGGACGCGTGACGTCACTGATGACGTAATCAGTGACGTCATCGGAATTGTCATCGTCGCTGTTGACGTCATTGTCATTCATGACGTCATCAGTGACATCATTGATGACGTCATCAGTGACATCGCTGATGACGTCATCGGAATCCGGATCGTCATCGTCCCTGATGACGTCATCAGTGACGTGACTGATGGCGTCATCGGCATCTGCATCGTCCCTGATGACGCCATCAACGACGTCACTGATGACGTCGTCGGCATCCCCACCGTCATCCTCATTGTCACTAATTACATCATCGGCATCGGCATTGTCACGGATGACGTCACCAGTGACGTCACTGATAACGTCATCGTCATCGTCACGTGACCTCATAGGCGTCGCCGTCGTCTCACGAGGGTCACGTGACCCCCGTGAGGTCACATGACCTTCGTGAGACGACCGCGACGCCACTCGGAGGGAAAAGTAGCAGACAGGATGAGAGGGCGAGGAGGAGGGAGGAAGGATATACCTTCCCCTCAGCACCCTTCCCCTCCTCCTCCTCCTCAAAAACTGCGCTCTAATCCGGCGTTACAGGGAGGAGGAGTTAGGAGTTAGGGCGCTAGAAACCTTCCAATTATGATTCTGTTATTCGCAAGTAGTCTAGACTAGCAGTGTTTTTTTTTCTTCCGCTTATACCGGATACTTTTATTAGGTGGCGGGGGACGAGAGAAAGCTAAAAAAAGGTCTATAACCGGGTCCAGATCACTTGGCCGTTTGTTCTGGCTGCAAGTTGAGGCAAAAAACGTAGCTTGTTTTTCTTTAATTCTTTTTGCCTCCGCCATTAAACTAGGAAGAAAAAAAAAAACGAACGTGTGTTTCATGTGCTATACACGCCAGAGAAGCATTGTAACTGGTATATAAGCAAGGTAATGAAATCGTTGCACCTCCCTTCCAAATGGGCTGTGCGACGATATTCAGTGACAATGTTTTTTGTTTTTGTCTTTTCACTTTAGAAGAGCTGACAGGCACTAGTGGGACCCACATATGCTCGCATGCAACGCCATTGACCATGAAGCCTCTTTGTTGCGGTGTAACGTCATGAATAAAGGCGAACGTTTTCTTTCAATCTGTCTTTCGTAAAACTTCATGACAAAGTTTGGAGGTCGTAGCGGCGTTGCTAGATTACTTCTGTTGTGAAACAACCGCGAAGGGGGGTATCCACCCCCCCCCCCCCCCCTTATTCCCTTCAGTTTGTATCCCGTCATTTGAAGCGCCCTTTCGATTTTCGTTGCAAACCTGTGTGTTCCAAAGCATGACCTCCGAGATTTGTCGCGCGCTGGCTGCGCTCCTCAGGCCATTGAATTCGCCGGTAGTGACTGATACTGTGGGTCGCTTGGTGCCGCTTACAACCAGACCCAACAATACAAAAAATAGCAGCGAATTATCATTACCCAGATTTAGCGTCGGTCAACGGAAATCAGGAGCAGCGCGAAATGTGCTCCCCGCATCTCGCCGCAACAAACAGACCTTTGGCAAGGAAGAGGTTCATCGAAATTTGAAGGTTCAACTTTTCAAAGCGCAAAGGGTGTATAACAAATGTCTGTGCACGCAAGTTAAGTTTAGAAAACTGTTCTCATGGATGATGAGACTAATATTTCTCGGCCTGTCCTCGCCGATTCAGATAGTATCGGAAGAGGACAAATATAGAATCGTACTAAATCTTGCACTCCGAGGTATCATGCAGCGATAGAACGCAAAGACCGGAGCTGCTAATAAAAATTACGAATGAACAGGAATCGGCTTACGTGTATATGTTTTGATGATAACAATGAAACTGCAAGATTCATGCGTCGAGCTCACAGTTGACAACGTGCCAACGTTACTAAAAAACTCAATTGGGAAACTCGCCGTCGAAACCTGGGCCGCTGGCGTCCACCGAGACCGAGCTAAATGCGACAACAGCGCCACTCTTTATCGTTTGTCTGTACTGTGGTCACCTTGAGCTTCTTGAAAGCCGGTTTTTGCGTAAAAACAAACGGAAAAGACACTTTTTGTAGGAAATTTATTGGAGTTTAGTACAAAAAGAGGGGCGCGTTATGGTTTTAAAATCTTTAGTTTGCAGGGTTTTGCGGCACAATTAATATTGTTTTTATACAACCATGCCTCAGCGGTCCTTTCAGGTAGCGCGTCCCGACCTAGGTGCATTTTAACTTCGATAGTTCGACGCGGCGCGTCCGCCGGGGAGACGGGGGTGGCACCGCGGTAACCTCTTCCGCTGTATCTGTTCTTAAAGCCAAAATAGAAGTCACGTGCAGTTCCTCGAGTGGCCGCTGCGGGAGAAATGGTGGCGTTGTGTTCGTCATTAGCTCGGTGCTCGGAGACAGATTGGGGCCACTCTTTCAAAGCTGTCTCTATGGGAGTTTCCCAACTGAGTGTTTTAGTAACGTTGCAACATGCTTTCAAGCTAGTCTGTTTCCGTTTCCGGTTTGAATATAAGCGCCGCATACGGAGATGGAGAGAACTGTCTCTGCTCGCTTTTTCTGCGGGGAAGTCGAGAGTTTGGACAAAGCCGGAGCAGATAGCGCGGAAAAAATCTCGAAGGCTAGGTCCATGTAGAGTACGGCAGGACGCCATCCAGACGCTGCGCTTGGAAACGTACGTATTCCATAGAATACACTGCAGTTACCATAGAAGCCGTCCGGCGCGTCGAACGACGCCAGGGGACTCGTGGGGGCAGAGGGGAGGGGGGCTACTGCTTGAGCAAGCAGCGTCTATGAGCAGGTCCTTAACTGGGCTAATCTAATAACGTTGGGTCGCTGGGTCCCCCAGTCAATATATCTAGTCAACCAGTGACGATATTGAAATTCGGCTTATTGATTGGAGCCGAGCATTGCCTGAGCACTCTATTCAGGCTCGCGACAATCAGTGGATAGCTCGACAAGCATTAGAGTAGGGAATCGCGTCAAATCGCTTCAATGGCGACAGCAGCGGAACTATCACAACGTCTGGACCTCAACGCGTGCCCTGTACTTTGACAACCCCAGCGCGTGGCTACGATCAACATTAGCGGGAAAAAATCGACTACAAATCTTTTGGCCGTTTGTTGTGGCTCCGAGTTCAAAAGCTCTTAGTTTTTTTTTTTTTTTTTCTTGATTACCATCGTACAAGGAGGAAGACTACCGCGCTTTTTTATGGGTTATAGACAAGATCCTGCATTCTCAAAGCCAATGATTGAGGAAAATCGGCAGGCGTTTTTCGGATTTCATTTTTTTTCTCCGTAATTCTCATTTTTCGGAACATTCACTTATAACACTCAAAATTCTGAGTTTTTATAGGTGTTTAGTATTTCAGGGGTGTTCAACTTCAAATAATTATGTTTGAGAGGAGCAATAAAATATGGTGAAACTCCAAAGAAAATTTTCTTTAAATCAAAATTTTGATCATTAGTGGCAAAAACGAATGCTCGATAGTTTCCAGTGCTCCAGTGTTTACGTCAACTTCTTGTCCTAGTCTCTTTTTTTTCAGCGCTTCTCTACGATCATGAAGCAACTCACCCAAATTGCCACATTAGTGCAACTGACTGAATCTCGAATTTGTGTCGTCAACAAGGATGGGAGGGGAACGTGTGCAAAGGTTCAGTCTGCACCAAAGGGGGTCCCAGGAAGGTGACTGGAGGTCTTAGAAACATATCCGGGAGGAAAGACCCCGCTTGAACTGGCTATGTATTTGACCTTGGATCGGCCGTTGTCGTGAAAACGACTCTTGCCTTTTCTGAAAAGGGTT